CGGCCGGGCCCCCCGCCGCTGAGACCCCGGACGGGGCTGCCGGGGATGTGTGTTCGGGTGGTGTGGACAGAGAACTCCACTCGGGAAGGGACTTTGGGCGACCCCAGAGTTCTGACTCCGCTATCTCCCATCATCCCCGGTGTAGCCGCAGTCACGATGATTGAGGTTGTTTGCAACGACCGTCTCGGAAAGAAAGTCCGCGTCAAGTGCAAGTATCCACCAGGGGGTGACCGGCCGTGGTCTCTGGGGCAGCTGCTGGTGTTAGGCAAATTGTGGTTAAATGGCGTAGATGGGGAGGCCTAATACCGTCTTCCTCGTTCTACCTCCTCCCTCCATTTACCTTAACTCCTTCGTGCCCAGCACCGATGACACCATCGGGGACTTGAAGAAACTGATAGCAGCCCAAACTGGCACCCGCTGGAATAAGATCGTCCTTAAAAAATGGTAAGTGCTGGTGGGGATTAGGCTAGAAGGTTGCGGTTGGGGGAGCGCCTCAGGCAACCCCGATGAGGGCTCAGCTTGCTTTCAAGACAAAAGCCCACCTCAACCCCGCCAAATAAGCTTCTCTCTGAAAGATGTCTGTCCCGTAGGTACACGATTTTTAAGGACCACGTGTCTCTGGGAGATTGTATCCTTTTCCTGACTTTTGTGAAAGAATCCATATACTTGAGTTCTGGTTCTATATTGAAACCTGTAGGGTTGTTTAACTTAAAATGTGGCCTATAGATAGGGACTACTGAGAAAATGGAAAGTATGGCGTTATTTTGTTGATGAGGAGGGTGGTGGAATAGTTTAACTTGGTTCAGAAGGATTTTGACGTTCAGGTTCAAAATATTTATGACTGAACAGCACATGGATATTGGACAGGAAGTGGAGGTGGAGTATACCTCAGATGTGACTAGTGGACAACCAGTATGATTTTTTTTTTTATGGGGGCAGGGGAGGGGTTCTGGGTCTTTTGCTGCAATTACGTTTATGCACCACATGCATGCCTGCTGCTGACTTAGGCCAGAAGGAAGCTTCAGATTCCCTGGAACCGTCGTGTGAGTGCGGGGATTGAACCCAGTTCCTGTGCAAGAGCAGCCATGAGTGCCCTTCAACTGTTGCTCTATGTCTTCAGCCTGAGTATGAACATTTAAGAAAATGTGTTAATTATTGCTGTGTGTGAAGGCCTGGGGCACTTGAGAATCTGACTCTACACCAGGCTTTGATGACAAACAGTTTTGCCTTCTCAGTGATGGTCACTTACATTATTTATAGCTTGAATTCTTAGATCAAAGTGCACATTCTAAAATTGCTTCCTTATTCCAAGGTTGGTTGTCGAGCCACAAGGTTCCATCCAACTGTGAGTGGGTAAAGGGTAGAGTCAGCCCTCAGTGAAAATTCCTTAATACTTGTCTTCAGATGAAATCCATGATGGGATGAACCTGGAGCTTTATTACCAATAGACGGGAATCCTTCTCCTTGACTACCCTGCCTTCCTCTCCCACCCTCATTTGACACTGGTATAGATGCACATTTTTAACAGTTCACATGAATAAAGACTTTGATGCTGCTTTGTTGCTGTCATACTTACATGAAGGTTGTATCCGGAGGGGAGAGCTGGTGTCTGGTGGGTATAGTTCCGTACCCTGTTCCTTGAGGAAGACTAACTGGAGGCTGGGCCTGGTAGTGCACACCTGACATCTCAGCACTTGAGAGATGGAGGCAAAAGGATCAGGTGTGAAGTCATGAGGGAAGAGTAGCCTAGTAGAATGGGACCCGGAGCTCTGCTGTTGCCTCTGGGTCACTGATGGGCAGAGATCCTGTGAGTATTGCCGTCCTCATAAACCATTAACCTGCATAGGGAGGGTAGATATGCTAGCTGGAACAGGGTCTGGCTTCACAAGACTGTGAGTAGGACACCTGCCCCACAGCTGAATTGCTCTAGGGAAGTTTCTTTACCCTCCTAAGCCTCAACAATGGTTTCAGTATCTTGAACCATCTCTACAATGGTTTCAAGACTAGGGTAAAATACAGTCTCCATTGTGAGGTATTAAAAAGCAGGTCCTTCACTACGTGTGATGATTAACCTTCATTGTCAATAGCATTTTGAATCACCCAGGATGCATACATACCTTTGAGCATAATTCAGGGGCTCTTCCAGAGAAGTTTAACTAAAAGAAGATGAATCCTGAATCCATGGATAGTACCATTCTGGTCAGCACTGAACAAAAAGAATGAGTTGAGCCTGGTGGTAGTGGCACCTGCTTTTAATCCCAGCCCTGGGGAAACAGTGGCAGGCGCATCTCTGTGAGTTCATGGCCAGCCTGGTCTATAGAGTGAATTCCAGAACAGGCTTCAAAGCTACACAGAGAAAACTCTGTCTTGGGAAAAATGGGTTGAGCACCAGCATTAACCAGTCTGCTTCCTATGCATTTAGCTACTTGGGTTCTTGGCCAGCATTCCTTCTCTGCCACGAAGGACTCTCCCTTATTAAACTATAAGGCAAGGGCTGGAGAGATGGCTCAGAGGTTAAGAGCACTGACTGCTTTTCCAGAGGTCCGGAGTTCAATTCCCAGCAACCACATGGTGGCTCACAACCATGAGTAATGAGATCTGGTACCCTCTTTTGGTGTGCAAGCATGCATGTAAATAATTGCATACATAATAAATAAATAAAATTTTTAAAAAACTATAAGGCAAAACAAATGCTTTCCTTAATCTGCCGTAAGATTTTTATTTATTTTGTATGTGGATGGGGGTACTATGAGTTCAGGGAACAGTTTGTCAGTTCTCTTCTGTTATGTCGGTTCTGGGGATCAAACTCAGGTCATCAGGTTTGGGGCAAGTACCTTAACAGTAACTAATACAAGAAATGGTTAGATGATGAGAATTCTGTTTATGGATGGCTGGGTTATCAAAAGAGTGGGCCTGTTAGTTGGATTGTCTTCTTGTATGATATTTCTTTTTTCACCCTGACTCTAACTCTGCAGAATCCCCACTAGCAAAGAAACTCAACAGATTTGGTCTGTAAATAGTAGAAGGACAAACAGTAGAACTGAGCTAAATAAAAAATGGTTCAGAGTCCTGTAGAGCAGGTTAACCTCAAACTCACTATGTAGCACGAATGATCTTGAACTCCAGCCTCCACTTCCCAAGTGCTGAGATTAAAGGGCAAGCACCACCATGACCAATTTAGTATGGTCTCATTTTTTAAAAGATTTATATATTTTATATACAGTGTTCTGTTTGCATGCCAGAAGAGGCCCTCAGATCTCATCATAGATGGTTGTGAGCCACCATGTGGTTGCTGGGAGTTGAACTCAGGACTTGTGGAAGAGTAGTCAGTGCTCTTAACCTCTGAGCCATCTCTCTCTCTCCAGCCTCTCTCATTTTTTGCTTTAAAGAAATTGCCAGAAAATACTGCCTATACATGCATTATCTTCATCTACTCTTCACAGTGTGGTGAAAGTTTGGAAAAGAAAAGTGAGATTATCTGTTTCCTGTAATTTTGCTAAATACCAGAGGTTCATTAATTTGAGAAGAATGTTTTGGGGTTTTGTTTTGTTTTTGTTTTACGAGACAGGGTTTCTCTGTAGCTTTTGGAGCCTGTCTTGGTGCTCTATAGACAAGGCTGGCTTCTAACTCACAGAGATCCACCTGTCACTGCCTCTGGGATTAAAGGGTGCACCAGCACTGCCCAGTGACCCCCCTCTCCCGGTTTTTTTTTTTTTTTTTTTTTTTTTTTTTTTTTTTGTGCAGAAACAGGTAAAATGCATGTCCTTCAAGCATGAGGATCCAAGTATGACATCCAGAATCCATGTAAAAATGCTCTGCACACTTTTAATCTCATCATTGAACAAATAGGCGATCTCTGGGGCTTGTTAGCTAGGCAGTCTAGCTTATTTGATGCACTTTAGGCCAGTGACTGTCTAAAAGAAGGTAGATTGTGTTCCTAAAATGACACTTGAGGTTGTCCTTCACCCTCCACAGTTAGGCTCACACAGAAACACAGACACACATATATACTTGTTTTTTGTTTGTTTGTTTGTGTTTTTCTTTGTTTTTTGTTTTGTTTTTGGTTTTGGTTTTGGTTTGTTTTTTGGTTTTTTTTGATTTTTTGAGACAGGGTTTCTCTGTGTAGCTTTGGAGCCTATCCTGGCACTCGCTCTGGAGACCAGGCTGGCCTCGAACTCAACAGACACCCGCCTGCCTCTGCCTCCCGAGTGCTGGGATTAAAGGCGTGCGCCACCAACACCCAGCAACACATACATATTTGTAAAACAAATAAAGCTACTTGGGTGGCCAAGGTAGGACCAATTTTTAAGCATGAGATGGTATGTGAAAAAATGGAAGGCAGCTAGATGTGTAGCTAGTTGGTTAATTGTTTTTATTGGATATTTTGTTACAGGAGTAAGAAAAGTAACAAGGGGCTACATAGTGAGATCCTATTTTTTTGGTTGTGGGCCTAGCCTTTGGTTGCTGAGCTATCCCTCCAGTCCGAGATCCTATTTTTTTAAAGCCCACTGTATTAGGGTTTGTAGAGAAACAGCTGATACAATGAAGCTATGTATATAAACAGGATTTATTAGAGTGACTTACAGTTATGGTCTAACTATTCCAAGAGTGGTCGTGTCTCAGTGAAAAGTTCGAGAATCCAGTATTTCTTCATTCAGTCCATGAGACTGGGTCTCTCAGCTGGTCTTCAGTATAGACCAGATTCATGAAGAAGTAGGTTCTAATGCCAGTGAAGGAATGAACTTGGCCAGTAAGAGTGTGAGTGAGGGGCTGGAGAGATGGCTTAGAGGTTAAGAGCACTGGCTGCTTTTCCAGAGGTCCTGAGTTCAATTCCCAGCAACCACATGGTGGCTCACAATCATCCACTATGAGATCTGGTGCCCTCTTCTGGTGTTCAGATATGCATGGAAGCAGAATGTTTTATACATAATAAATAACTAAAATCTAAAGAAAAAAAAAGTGTGAGTAAGCAGGCAAAGAGTAAAATCTTCCATGTCCTTTATAGAGACTGTCAGCCAAAAGATGCAACTCAGATTAAAGGTGGATTTTCTCCCCTCAAAATATTGAGATTTAGAGCCGGGCTTTGGTGGCGCACGCCTTTAATCCCAGCACTCAGGAGGCAGAGGCAGGTGGATCTCTGTGAGTTTGAGGCCAGCCTGGTCTCCAGAGCAAGTGCCAGGATAGTCTCCAAAGCTAGACAGAGAAACCCTGTCTCGAAAAAACCAAAACAAACAAATACTGAGATTTTAGGATGGTCTTCCACCTCAGATGATTCAATTAAGAAAGAAAATCCCTCACAGGTGTACTAACTTGACAACCAAGAATAGCCATTACAACAACATACATAAATAAGTACTTAATTAATACATATATTCTATTTGGATTTAAATTTTATTACATTTTTACATATGTGTATGTATGTGGGGAATGGGCAGACATCCATATACCATGGTGTGAATGTGAAGTCAAGGGACAACTTGTAGGAGTCAGTTCTCTCTTCTACTTTGTGGGTCCTAGGGTTGGAACTCAAGTCATCAGGCTTGGCAGCAACACCCTTAACCAATGAGCTATCTCATCGACCCTGTATTTGGGATTTTTGTTGTTGTGTTTTTCGAGATAGGGTTTCTCTGTGGCTTTGGAGGCTGTCCTGGAACTCCCTCTGTAGGCCAGGCTGGTCCTGAACTCACAGAGATCCGCCTGCCTCTGCCTCCCAAGTGCTGGGATTAAAAGTGTGTGCCACCATCTCTCGGCTGGGAATTTTAAATAAGTATACATTAGCACTCTTGTTTTTGTTTTCTGTTTTTCTTTTCAGTGCTGAGATCAAACCCAGAGCCTTGCACAGTCTAAGCTGGTTGTACCACTGAGCTGGCATGGTTATATTTTATCTTGATGTGCATATTTGAGTTTACATGTGTACCTGTGCTATGGCCTGCTTATGGAGGTCAGAGGAAAATATTGACAGTTCTAACCTTCTTCCTTGTTTCAGACCTGGTGTCTTTGTTGCTCCCTGCTAGTACTTAAGGCTAGCTGGTTTGCAAGTTATATTAAGTTCTCTAAAGGAACAGAACTGATAGAAAAGACAAATATATGCATATATATGAGATTTACTAGAGTAGCTTATAGGCTTTGATTTGAGTAATCCAGCAATGGCCATCTCTTGAGGGAAAGGTCAATGATCTGGAGGTTGTTCAGTTCACTGGATGTCTCAGCAGTCCCAATTTGGTGCTAGAGTTCCAGGGAAGTCCTAGAGAGCTGCCAGTTTCAAGTCTTATGTTGGAAGTAGGAACTAACACCAGCAAAGGATTGCTTCAAGAACAGGACAGATGGACTTGCTCGTTAAAGTGAGGGCAAGTAATTAAAAAGCAACAGCTTCCTTTTTCCATATTCTTTTATACGGGCTGCCACCAGAAGATATGGCCTAGATTAAGTGTGTGTTTCTGCCCTCAAATGACCTGGATTTAGGGTGAGTCTCCTACCCAAAATAATCCAGCTGTTTTAGGATTTCTATTGCTGTGAAGAGATACCATGACAGCTCTTATAAAGGAAAACATTTACTT